CCAGCCGCCTATTAAGCCCAATTTGGTCTGGGCCCGAGGTGGGCTTAATAGCGACTACTGTACTGGTGTTTGATGGGTTGGACCAGTGTAGGTGGGTAGTATATTTCAGAATATCTTAACAGGAGACGAAATTGAGCGAAATTGGGGTTCCAAATTACATTCTTATTCTCCCATCATGCGCAGCTGGAGGCGTGGTTCATCGTATTCGACTGATTAGGATAGAGCCAAAAGTATAGTAAATAATAAGTTTTCTATAAAAGTACTCACTTAGTTGTAATTGTTACGGCTGTGATAATGTCTGATTTAGCTGGCCTCGATAAAATTAAAAATTTTAGAATTGATGTTATCAACTTTACACAACTAAAGAGCAGTAAATATCACAAGGTTGCATTTGATAATATGAAAGGCTGAATTTGATAAGCCGAAAAAAATTTACAGGTTACTATGAGGGCAGCCAATATGGCATAGATGCTTCGAGGACCTGTTCGGGGAGACGGGACTCATGGTAGAATTTGCCAAGTTATTCAGAGACAGAAAATCTTTCGAGTGTCCACTTCAGGTCATTGCCATTTCAGTTGTTAGATTGCTACTGTTGTGTTCTTGCGACAGATTGTCATGTCACCATATGTAACACTCGCACCCGTCTTAATCATTGTTTCCAGTAGGCAAACCACTAATTAATCTCCTCATTTTGCTGCACTTTTCGTCTTGTAGCCGGTTCTACCCTCACCCTCTCCCAATCCCCGTCCCTGATGACTGAAGCAGACACTTCCGGCACCCGTGGTCGTCCCTTCTCCTCTGACACCGATGTACCCTCAATGTGGAGTTCTTCGGCCGCAGAACCCGGTTTCACCCGCATCAGCGCCATCACCAGCATCACCTCCACAACCACCGACAGCAGCAACAAGCGTGAATCTCGGGGTCCGGGAAACAGAGATGCCCCCATCCATGATGCAAGCAGCATAAGCATGAGCAGCATCAGTGATCTGAGTAGCATCCAGAATAGCACTACCAACCACCTCACCACCGGCTTCAGCGAGGATGAAGAATACGAGGAAGACCAAGAGGAGGAAAGGGAGGAGGAGAATGACGAAGAGGAGGAAGAGCAAGAGAAAGAGAATGACCATCCAACCACCGGCCTCAGCGAGGATGAGGAATACGAGGAAGGCCAGGAAGAGGAAAAGGAGGATGAGGAGGCGGATGAAGAAGAAGAGGAAGAGCCAGAGAAGGAGGAGGACGACGATAACTATGATGAGGAGGAATGTGAGGATAATAAGGAGGAGGAAGGGGAGGGGGAGGAGATGGAGGAGGAAGGGGAGGAGGCGGGCAGGTATACCCGAGTGCCGTCTCCTTCAAGTTGTGCATCGCACCTTCGCAGTATCTCAAGTCCAGAGGTGGAAGGGCCTCGCAAGCGAATGCCGAAAAGTCCATCAACGAAGTCCTATCAGGAGACGAACTCGCTGCGCCGCCACCTCCCCCGACGTCCTTGTGGGGTTCTGATGCTGGTTCGTTGGGGACAAGAACCCACGAAGTGTGCAGACGATACCTCCCTGGACGTCAGTTCCTCCATCTATGACTGGCCGTGGCCCCCTATCACCACGAGGGAGATCGCAGTCCAGGCCTCTCCTCCCCCCAACGATTCAGAGGTTTCCACGCCGGTGACCTCCACTGGCGCTTTTGATGTATTTCAGGACCTTTTAAATGAAAGCGCAAATTCGCGAGAGAACGAACAGAAACATAGGGCAACGGGGGCGGGTGATACGATGCCCCAGGAAGAAGTTAAGATCCCGCTCATGGTAGTTTTAAGTCTGAAAAATATCTGTTGGATTTCGGCTGATTTCCACAGCGATAGTTATTTTTTTTTATTTAGCGCACTCATTCGTCTTCAATTTTAGAAGAGCCCACGAAGGACGATAAGCAGACCTCAACCTACCCACCACCAATGTCTGGAATGGTATGTTTTATCCCGAAAGACATCTTTGCCAAGTCGGTCGACGAAATTCCCTCCTCTGACTCTGCTCTTTATTTCTTTCAGTCTAGTAACGGTTGGCGTCGGAGGATAAGGCGAACACTGCGTCGACTCTTTTACTGTTCCGCAGGTCACCGAGAGGACTAACCAACTCTCTCTCCCCCCCCTCCTGCTCAACTTTTCACATCTCCTTGATTTCCTATCCACGTCCCACATTCTCCCCTCTCATCTTCTCCCGTTTCGACTGTTTTGTGCTGTGAGACATGTATATATTGGTTTTATTTAACGTTTGCTTATTTTTTACCTCTATCATCTTTCCAAATCCTGGCTTTCCTAGTTGATTCCTGATTCTCTTTGATTCCATGCAGCCGTGATATAAACGTAATTGGTACTAATTTTCATGTGGCAATTTCATCCTTGTATCCAATGCACATATGCTGTTTGTTCACTCGTTTATTTGATAACCAATAAAAAACTATCCCTTAGTCTTCTAACAAATGCCGCATTTCTAAACATCGGCTTCTTATTCCAGAATGTAGAGGTAGACCTA